GATAAAGGTTCCCCTCGCATATGTGTGCTAGTCATTCCCGACTCTAGGGGGACGGTGCTCCTCTCCGTTTCAAAGCCAAAGAGCCACAGAGACATCTTCGCTGTTCGAAGACGTCTCCGTGGTCACGTGGCCAGCATGACGAAATACGGACAGCACACAGAACACTGTTACCTTCCCCACCAAGGGTGGTTCTTATTTTTTCTACTTGCATTTTTACATGCTTTCGAACTCCTAGGTTGGCAGAAGCTGGGACAAGTAATGGGAGCTCACTCTGTTACATGGCACTAGGAATTCGAACTGCTGACCTTTCTGAGCGACAAGCTCAGCGTCTTAGCCACTGAGCCACTGTGTCCCCTGCAAATATTACATTTAATATTACAAATATTACATTTCATTAAATATTGCAACTTAGAAACTCTTTTTTAAGAAGTTTCTTTCTTTAGTGAGAGGAAAAATGGGTGTTTAAGAAGTCATTTCTTTTAATCATAACCAGCAAGAAAAGGTCTTGATTGGGTTTAATGTTAACAAAATGTATAAGCTGATCAACAATTACTTTTATTATGTCAAAGGATGATCCAATTGGTCACAGGGTATTCTAATATTATACAAATGCATGTTCTCTAAACAGTTACATTAAAAAAATAATATGAATGTATTGCTGAGTTGAAATTGGATAGTTTTGCATGCAGCAAGTTACAAATACAGTAAAATTAAGGTGCCTCAAGTCCAAAAATGTTCTTCATAAAAGTCTTTGAACACAAAGAAATCAGAACTTTAAAGAGAAATAGCTTACTCATTTTTCTGCAGAAACCATTAGCTTCATCTAAATTCAATCCTTCCCATCTATTTTGTGGTACTACAAATGTGTAACAACTGTTTCGATATGCTATCCATGGCGTATTCTTAATCTTGTGTGGACATTTAATTGATTCATAATGTGTTTCTTGGATTTCAGTTTCATCTGAAAAATAAACTCTTTTAAAGGCAGTACTTCATATCTAAAATACATTCAGTATTTAATACTACAATACAACTTTCATCAGCTGAGAATTATTGGATGCTGGTCATTAATGATATCATTTTNCCTTCCATCCTTCCGAGGTGGGTAAAATGAGGACCCGGATTGTTGTTGGGGGCGATATGCTGACTCTGTAAACCGCATAGAGAGGGCTGAAAGCCCTATGAAGCGGTATATAAGTCTAACTGCTATTGCTATTACTACCTTTAGATACAGGTAAAAATAATTCTTTGCTTCATAAAAGTTATTTCTGCATCATTGGACTGGGGCTGGCATCCAGCTTGCTATCTTGTTGCCTGGCAGCCAGCAGTAGTGAGCAGAAAAGGTACTCTGAGGCAGACAGGTCTAAGCAGGAGGGCAGGAAAGCACCAGAAGGGAGAACTGAATTTAAAACTATGGAAGGTAGGGAAGAGGACAATGGAAGGGGGGGGGGGGAATGAGACAAAGATGTTCAGGATGTGAAAAGGTTAAAATTAAAATACTGAATTAACTGGCCAAATATTTTGGCCTTCCGTTTCTTTTAACTGCAGCTCTTATACTATGTGTGCTTAAATTTAAATGACTGGACATTTATCAAAAAATAAAAAGTATTACTGGTCTGAAGTCTATTCATTTTTTTAAAATTTGTTATGCAGTTGTCCATTCCATGAACACACTGAGGAAAAAAGTCAGCTTTATTGTAAGCCTATGCCCTTGTTTTCCATGAACACAAATATAATCTAGACATTTTTACCTAAAACCTGTTCACATACTGTATAATTTTCGTCATTTCCAAACGTTATTTAATATTACATCCAGCTTTTCCTTACCATTAAATTGCATCCCAAGCCATACTTTTCCAGTAATAAAATAATAATCTTTCAAGTGTGTGCTCACAAACTTATTTTCCTCTCCATCCTTGATAGTCAGAAGTTCTGCAGAAGGATCTAGTGAGAAAAAGTTTATCTTAAATGAGGAAAACCTAATTTATTTAAATGTCCAAAAGAAATTATTTAAGACATTGTCTAAAATAATACTGAAAAATAACTCTTTAACCAATAAAAGAAACGTATAATTTGGGCATACCAAGTTTCTTGCAAACTTTCCTAGCTTCGTCTGCAGTATATGTGGAATAATTATAAAATGCCATATCAAATGCGTAGCAATAATCTTTGTAGTGGAGCCATTGCGATGCTCCTTTAGGAGAGTCTGGACACTTTGATGATGTTTCGGTTTGCTTTAATTGCACTTCTGTGAGAACATAAATAGCATAATCAACTTTATTCAAATATCAAAATTTTCTGCTCAATCAGTTGACGGTTTTAGTGTTTTTGTAACTATTCAAAATATAAATAAAACAAGGTTCTAAATATGTTTGCTAACAAGTAATTGCACATCTTGGAGCTTTTCCACCTATCATAGAAAAAGTGTTTTAATTCTTAGGAAACAGTAGTTATAGCGAGAAATGAAATGCCTGCATCAGTCCTGACCATCCTCCCCCTTTTTACAAGGCAGATGGTACTGCCCAGAATTGGTTTTTAACTCTTCGGGCTTTCACCCAAATGAATATGTTATGTCGACACTCCCAAAGGGGGCGGAGGTCACACCAATAACCCAGAAAATCTTTTCTTAAGTAACATAAGAGTATTTTTTCCTAAGTGACTTAAAAACAGCAATTTAGGGAACAATCTAACTGGCAGTTAAGGCTGTGCAATCATTTTGACTTAATAAATGCCTGTCCTGAACCCATGAAGTGGATTTACCCAAAAATCTCTGCACAAAAAGGGGATGGAAATTACAACTAAATCTAGCCTGAATCCTTCATGCCTTGAATGTTTTGCATGGCTACAAAAGGCCAACCTGTGAAAATCATGGGAAGATTTGAAAAGATAAGCATTTTAGCAACAGCACTACAAACATTTCCATGAAATCAAATAAACTGTCATATACTTCATACTTAGGAAGAATATGTTGGTTAGTAAACCGACTCTAGGTTAAGCAAACATAGCTAATATGGAATTGCTATCAGGTAAAATTGGGTACTGGTTGTGGTGGTGGCCTACTTGCCAAAAAGGGCTAGAGCGGCCCATGCCATTAGCAAGTAATCCTGCAAACAAATTTAACAGTGCCAATAGGCACCTTGGGTGTAATCCCAGAAACTACAGGAATGCTACTTTAACATCATTATCACTGACAAATTCACCACCAGCCAATTGAAAAAGGCAGTTTTACTCAGGCTAGCTTGTATTCTGTGACCATCCCGCTATCACAGGTGTGTCAAACTGGCGGCCCATGGGCTGGATGCGTCACATGCAGGCCACACCTACCCCAGCTCCCCAAAGGGGAAAAACGTCGTGAAATGTTATGTCACGACAACATGATGCCACGAGTTTGACACCCGTGCTCTAACACCACCAAACAACATCATCTGCCAATCTGATGTCCTTGGGAAAGAGTCGATCGGGGGATAAAAATGCCAAATCCAGTCTGAACATCTGGCTGACTGCAATGAACCATAACACCATGAAAACAATGTTACATGAAAGCCTCAGAGGTGACTTTGGAACCCCATCTCCGTACAGAGCACTGCAAGACCATCTCTGAGGAAGAGTAGCAAGAACACCACTATTAAGGAGGAGCAAAAGGAAGCAATTGTCCACTTGAACAATCCACCACCATTGGCAAGTCTCAATAAAAACTAACTATTAAAGCCAATTATTTTCCCCCTCCATTTTTAAAAATTTTGTGCCATGTTCTTTTTAGGCAGCCTGAAAACAAGAACCAGCTTATTTTTATTATGCTGTAGGCCACTTTGCAAGCTAAATACTATTATCTTGTTATGTTATCTGGTTAAGATCTGCTTGCCGCCAAGGAATTATATTCAGCACGGGATAGGAAAAGATGCCCATGCTTTTGTTTTATAGTTTCTTAGAAGAAAAAGAATCAAGTGATATAGGAATATATGCTTACTTTTTGGAGAAGAGTAGCAGATAGCACCATCGCCTCGAGAGGTGCATTTCCTGCGATTCCAAATTCCTTTAGTGTCGATAGCAAAACAATTTCCAAAAGAATGAGAAGGCTGATGTTCCCAAGGATGGTAGTCAAACTGGCTTCCATCAGACCATCCAAAATCAGAATCATTTCCCTAGGGAAGGTGCAACTTTGTTGATCAATACTGATAGTACACTTGCTTTTAGCAAACACTAGAGAAAATGGTTATGAGTTGACAAATTCAGACTCTTTTTAAACATTCTTTTCTAGTACACACATGAACTCAATTGTTCTTGGCTGTACTCTAAGAACCAAGATCTCAGGGGCTTAGTTTACTTGGCAATACTAGTGCAATTAGCAATTATGTTAATGAGTAGCATGGAGATTCAAGGTCCCAACCGACCTATATGGGCTGAAAAGCCAACTCATTGCTCTCCTTCCAAGGCAGACAGCAAATAGGAGATGCTTAGCTTAGCTATTGTCTTATGGAGTAGGGCAAAGAATTAACATTTCCTTATCTTACTGATTTAAGTCCTGGGTCAGAAAATGTTTTTTTCCTCCAATTTTTTAATCTCTGCAAAATGGCATAGTAGCTTGAGCAGAAGCATACAAACCTTAGCTTCTCTAGCAGAGATATGCACAGTAGCAAGATGTATTCATTTTAATCATAAAAGATTACAATAACTTTAACACAGCTGTCTATAAATTCTAAGAGTGCTCAAGCAGAATGCCATGTTTTTATGGGCAGAAAAAGTTCATAATGAGCCCATGTAATATTAATGTAAGGTAGTATCTATCTTTACCAGCTCCAAGTTGACTCAGCCTTCCATCCTTCCGAAGTCTGTAAAATGATGACCCAGATTGTTGGGAGCAAAATGCTGACTCTGTAAACCGCTTAGAGAGGGCTGTGAAGTGGTATATAAGTCCAAGTGTATTGCTATTCCCTATTTTCTAATAATATCAATTGCTGATTATTCTGGTTTTGAGATTTTAAGTTTAATGACACTTTAAATGATTTTAATGCTATGAAGTCCTTTGAGGATGGATTACTACTATGACTTGTCAAGAGACCTGTGAAGTGAGGAGCATACAAATATTGTAAAATAATTAAGAAAAAAATATTTTCAAATATTGCAAGCCATAGTGAATATACTCCTTTCCAAACGTGGATCAGCGAGTAAAGCTTCCTTTGGAGAACTTACTAACTAGGCAACCCTGTATGGAAGAATTTCTCGGCATAGTCTCCATCTATCAGTCAGATTGATACTTCAGATACAGAACTAAGCAGGTATATATTATTCTCTTCTGATTAAATATACAAAGCCCATGCCATGATTTTTCATTTTTTGAAAAGCAGCAATGAGTTGTCTTCTGCTCATTTCTGTCCTCCCGAGTAAAGCACTCCCTCTCACATGGGTGTGTATCTGTGGGTTTGGATGTTTGTATATGTGTGTTGTCAAGACTGGTGTTGGCAAAGTTAACTCATCCTTCCCCAGATATGACTCCCCGCCCCAATCAGATATGGTTCACCAGAGTGTGGCAAATTTTTGAAAGCTCCCCATTGATCTCAATGGAAGGGGGCAGGTTTAGTAACTTTAATTAGCATATGGAAAAATACTCTTACGTCAGTGATGGCTAACCTTTTCCTC